CTACTAAGATTTCCTCAAGAGAAGGAGGAAAAAAATAGAACACAGACCCATTCATCTCTTCCTCCCAGTTTTTCATTCAGAGTTACATGCTGTTCTGGGGAGATAATTTGCAAGACACGCAGTGTAGGTAATTTCAGTGACAAAAACACATACCAGTAATGAGCACAAATGGCTCTCCAGAATGTTGTGCTGGCACTCCGGAGTTATTTTTCCAGCTTTGGAGGCAAGAAGGGTTGTCTTCCCTGTGTCTGCAGTCATTAGGGAGTCAGCTGTCAGGTTTTTTTCACCTCTGGATTATCAGGCTGTCTGTGATATTATACAACTGTAATTTATTGATGCTCTTTCTAGGTAATAACTTCGTCCTGATATGATATTTTTAAGCATCCATGAGGCACAGAGCTACCAAGAACAGCTTCAAGGCCCTCAAGTCCTGTTGTGATCTCGTAGGATTGCTCCTCTTTACAGGCTGGAAATGCCTGAAACAGCCTAAAAATCGGATTTGTTTCTCATGGCTGCAGCCCTTCATGGTTTTCCACTGATCAACCAACACCCTTAACTGGCTTTTGTTGTAGTTGATCATTCCAGCCACAGAGCCCTGAGGGTTTTGCAGGAATTTGAGCCCTGTCCATGATGTTGGGTTTCATCCCATGTGTCCATTTCTAAAGATCAGCTTTTCTTCCCTGTGAGATCCTAAACCCTTCTGGAGGAACAGAATGTCACCCAGTGCTGCATCACCAGAAAATACCACCCTAATTCAGAACTATTCCTTTTTGTCTGATGTCAAGAGGACTTGGCTTAAGAAATAGGGACTCATTTCTCTGTCTGGGACGTTGGATAGTCATGGAAAAGGATGACCAGTGACTGGCCTTATCCATTGAAACATCCAGGACACATTTGTGCTCCTCAAGACTGCAAGCTCCTTCTGGGAAAGTCCAGGAAAGGACTCACATATTCACTCTACCACTTGCATTTCATTTTTTAGTAAGCTGAGTTTAAAATTTTAAGGCAGATTTAGCAGGTGTCTGTGGGGTTTTTTGTGTTTTTTTTTTAAACCAGTCATGAAAACTTTTATATATGAAGTATTTTTCTGATTTTTGGAGCAAGGCACAGTGTTTCCACAGCCAAGTTTTGAGGTGAAATGGAATTGCCTGGCCTTTGAAGGAAGGTGGGATTCCTGAAGACCCTCAGTCATCCATCTTTGATACTCAAACATCCCTAAAAACTGATGGTATGGCTTTCTGAATTTCCCAGTACCCCAATAAAATGGGAATAGAAGAGGAAAAGAAAGTGCTCACACCTGGCACTGAAATATAGTCTAGTGTTGGCCTTAAATGTCTTTGTTTCAGATCCTTCATGCTCTCAACATCCCCTGGTCCCTTTTGGGATGGGGAATAAATGTGCCAGCAGTGGTGGGGGATGCTGGAATCATCAAGTGGACCAAAGCCCCACCTGGTAGGAAAAATCCAGAGAACTCTGGGAAGTCAGGAGCTGGATTTTGATGGTCTTTGGGACTCAGTTCAGGATATTCTGTGATTCCAAATCCCAAAAAAGTGGCTTAGGAAAGTGTGAGAAGGACGATCCACAGCTCTTTTTGGAGGGGCGTGTCAGGCACGGAGCTGAGTGGAAGAGGAAACCAATTTCGGGGCAGCATTCCCAGAAATAGGGCAGAAACCCAAAAATTTATAATTTCTTATGTGTGTGTGGTGCCACAGGGCTCTGAGTGTGACTGGGAATGCTGAGCTTGACCAACACAACCAAGCTCCATCTCTGAGCCCACGTTTTGCCAGGAATACGAAGGTTTTTGCCGAGGTTTTTCCTCTCTCTGATTCTCAACCTCCTTCGGTGTCTTTGTACAGACTCCCCGCTCTGCTGAGTAACTCCTAAGCCCTGGAAAAATCTATAAAACACACACACACACACAAAAAAAAGGGCTGGAAATAACGTGGGGCTGGTGATGTGAGCTCAGCCACCGTAAAACCGGCCGTGGGTCCGATCCCGAGCGAGGGAATCGCCGCAATTCCGTGTGTCCCGCGTGTGGAATGTTTCAAGGACAATGGTCCTTCATTAATTGCCGCTTTCAGGTTGGCGTAACCGCCGGTGCTTCCAAGGAAACAAGAAAGTGCTCTTTGATGTTGGCATGAAAGAGAGGGGAAAGTAGTTTCCCTGCCGCTGATTCCGTGGATGCAAGTTCCTAATGAGCCGCGTTGACGGAGGGGCTGTGGGAGATGGGAATGGGGAGCCTTGACGGGGTTGCACTAAATCCACACGAGCCACCGTCGCGCTCTGGGATAGTCCGGGCAAAACATCCCGTGTTTCTGGAATTTTTCCGGCACTGGTGTTGGGAAAGCTGCCAAAACGACGGAGCCGGTGCCGAAATGCCGACCCGGAGTCGATGTTACTCATCTGGATGCCAACCTGCAGGAGGCTTTGGGGGACGTGTGGCCGAGGGATTTGTTTGGCTTCAAGTATTTGGGAGGCTTTCCTTGGTGATCCGGTGCTTTCTGCAGGTGGAGGAGCAGATTTATCCTCACCAAAGCTGCTCTTTGTGTCCTGGCTCGTTCCTCTTTAGCTTGGACTAATCAAAGAACCTTCCTACCTGTTTACTTCTGCCCTGGGAGGTTTTTTATTTCAATTAAAAATTATATATTTTATAGAAATATATGTATTTTCAAGGGGAAAAGGTATATACTAGTATACATATATACTATAATATTATATAATATACATATACTAATATACATATAAAATACTTGTAAAATAATGTATATATTAATATATAATACTTATGTGTATGTACATATATTGATATGTGGTTATATCAATATACAATACTTAAGCATATATTAATATATTAATGCATATATTAATATATAATAATTATGCATATATCAATATATAAAAATATGTATATGTTAAAATGTATATATATACTTATATGCATATATACATATATATTCTATATAATTTGGTTTATTTATAATGTAGAATTGTAGGATCATAGAATCCTTAAGGCTGGAAAAGACCTCTAAGATCATACTATATATATTTATTGGAATTATTATATATGTAGTAATTATTATATATTAATATACAATACTTGTGTGTGTATACACATATTAATATATGTATATATAATATACAATACTTAAGTGTATATGTTAATATATGTATTTATTAATATATAATACTTATGTATATATTAATATACATATATGTACACTTATATACATATATATTCTATATAATATGGTTTATATACACACAGTGTAGAATTGTAGGATCATAGAATCCTTAAGGCTGGAAAAGACCTCTAAGATCATACTATATATATTTATTGGAATTTTTATATATGTGGTTCTTGAAAGTATTATATGTTTATATAGACTGCTTCAACTGCAGAAGGCTTTTTTATGTTTCTATAAATCTGAATAACTGTTCTGGGAGTAAATTGGTGATTCTGACGGGCTTAGTGTTCCTGTGGTTCCTTGAACACATGAAATCATAGAATCATAAATTATCCTGAGCTGGAAGGGACCCACCAGGATCATCCAGTCCAACCCCTGGCCCTGCACAGACACCCCAACAATCCCACCCTGTCCCTCAGAGCGTTGTCCAAACCCTCCTGGAGCTCTGGCAGCCTTGGGGCTGTGCCCACTGCCCTGGGGAGCCTGGGCAGTGCCCAACCAGCCTCTGGGGGAAGAACCTTTCCCTGAGATCCAACCTGACCCTGCCCTGGCACAGCTCCAGCCATTCCCTGGGTCCTGTCCCTGGGCACAGAGAGCACAGATCAGAGCTGTCCCTCATGAGGAAGCTGCAAACCCCAAGGTCTGACCTCAGTCTAAATGTATTTATTCTTCTGTTTTATCACACCCTGAGGAAGATCTTTGTTTACACAAGCATGGACTTGAGTCAGGTTCAAACTTTCACTGCCACTGACTTTGGTACTTTTAGAGAGAACAGAAATTTTTATGGGGCACTGAATTCTTAGTGATGATGCTTATTATGGAGAGACTTTTACCTCACTCTTCCCTTCAGCTGTGCCCTCCCAGGACATGCACTGGGAGAGGGTGTGGGGAAAGCCAGGTCTCCTGTTGAAGGTGTTTCCCTGTTGGCATCACTGGGAGATGTTCATCTAAAGTGACATGGAGCGATGCCAGTGTGTCATTGTTGCACCTGAATGTGTCTGTTTGGTCTTAAACTCATTTCAACCTCTGAGAATTCCCTTGTCTCCAAGATTTATCACATCTCTGGTACCACAGGAAGACTTTTTCTAGTGGAAGGTGTCCCTGCCCATGGCAGGGGGTTGGAATGAGATGGTCTTGAAGGTCCCTTCCAACCCAAACCATTCTGGGATTCTGTGGAGACTCTCAATTTTTATTGTGACTTCTATAGATGAGTTGCAAAGGGAGGATTTTTCTGTTTTCTCTTTTGTTTCTTCCCCTGCACCTCTGACTATTTTCCTCCAGCTTCTATTGTTAGATAAAAACCAGCAGGGCTGTGCCAACCAGCAGAAACAAGTGTCCACATCTTTTTTCCTTTTTTATCTTACAGATAAAAGGACCCATCATAATGGATTTAAGCTGAAAGAGGGCAGATTTAAATTGGATTTTTCACAAGGGTCTGGAATACCAGGACAAAGGGGAATGGCTTCCCACTGCCAGAGGGCAGGGATAGATGGGATATTGGGAAGGAATTCCTGGCTGTGAGGGTGGGGAGGCCCTGGCACAGGTTTCCCAGAGAAGCTGTGGGTGTCCCTGGATCCCTGGAAGTGTCCAAGGCCAGGTTGGAGCAGCCTGGTGTGGTAGAAGGTGTCCCTGCCCTTGACATGGGGTTGGAAATGGTCTTTAAGTTCCCTCCCAACCCAAACCATCTGTGTTTCTATGATTCTATGACAAGGTCTGCATGAAAGATAATACAATTATATCCCTTTAATTCCTTGCCTTCCATAAAGGATTCAGTGCAGGACCAGGATCACAGATCACTGTTGTTTTTCTTTGCAGAGCCGCCTGAAGGAAGCGGTGCAGCTCTTGGAGGATTACAAACATGGCACTCTGCCCCCAGGAGTCACCAACAAAGAGGTGAGAGGGAAAAACCTTTATTAAAATTCCTGCTTATTCCTTGGGTTACAAGTGTTTATGGGGGTTTTTTTGCATTTTTTTTTTTGAACCAGTCATGAAAACTTTTATATATGAAGTGTTTTTCTGATTTTTGGAGCAAGGCACAGTGTTTCCACAGCCGAGTTTTTAGGTGACATGGGATTGCCTGGGTTTTGGAGGAAGGTGGGGTTCCTGAACACCCTCAATCATCCATCTTTGATACTCAAAGGTTAGGCTGTGTCTGTGGTCAAATGGATATTTTTGGTGTTTCTACTGGTGCAATACTCTCCTGGCTTCTCTTGCAAACTGCGCTCGTACAATTAAAACCAAAACCACGTAATTTTCTTTCTTTTTTAGCTGAATGAAACCTTCCTGTCAGCCCTGTAGGTTCTTGTACCAGCAGCTGTGAGGCATCACCTTCTTCTCCTACAGTATTGGTTATAATAATTGTCATTTCTCCACAGAAATAAACACATAAACCTACATAAAACCCTCTGGATGTTGCAGGTTGTACCATCAGTAGTGGTGCCTCTTGCTGGGTGATGTTCCTGCTGTTGGAATGGAAGCTGCAGGAGGTTGTGGGATCCCCCCCCTCTCTTGATGGGAAGGTCTTAGCAGAGTTTTTGGGGCAGTTGCTGAGAAAAGGGTCGGTTTTGGTAGAATTTGGGACAGAGGGACGAGCTGGGTGGTCTCTCCAAGACCCCATCACTCCTGTTTTTTGGGCTTGTGGCTGCTATTTATCTGCACATCGAACCTGTGGAAGCAGAGATTAATATTTTAGAGGGGTTAGGCTGCTTTTTGAGCTTTTTACCTCCAAATCTGTATCATGAAACAAAAATTACGAATTTTCTGGCTGTTCCCTCAAACTCTTTTCCTTCCCTGTCCACATGTGGCCACCTGACCACGACACGGACCCAGGGGCTTTTTTGTGGTGTGTGTTTGTGCAACCAGCACAAAATATTTAATTTCTACTTAATTTAATGTCATATAAAGAACAGGATGAATGAATTGGCAGAGTTACCCGAGGGGATATAAAAGCAAAGGGTGACAAAGGACCAGGGCACCTCCCCCCCAAAAAAAGCAGTGGTGGAAATGGTGGAGAACTCTTCTTCCTGTAGGTCAAATAACCTCTTTTATATTTTTATTTCCTGATCCTGAGTGATGATTTCTCCCCGTGAAAGACAAATACAGCAGGTAAATGAAGACAATTCAGATTTGTGTTGTCTTTAAAAAGTGGCATCTGGCGTGGTGGGAGCTGTCTTGGGAAAGAGGCATGAAAAAAAATAAATGGGAGATATCCCCTCCCTGCATGTCACAAGGCATTGCCCTCCTGGTGTTTTGGTGTCACTGCACTCCTTCAACCATAATCTGATGGAAAGGAGAGAGAAGCCGGGGTTGGGAAAGGAGAAAAGCAGGGAGTGATGCAGCAGCAGATGACTCAGTTCCCATCTGCCTCCAGGCAGATGACACCCAAGTCATCCCTGTGCAAACCACGCAGACTTTTTGACCTACATTTTGCACGGTGACAAACCCAGGCTATTCCCAGAGTTCATTCAGAACTGCAGAGGGAGAGAGTGAGGAAAAGCATCGTGGGTTTTGTTTGCCTCAGCCACGACATCGTTTGCAGGGGGGGAACCTGTGCAAGCTGGAGGGCTCTGAGTGGGAAACAAAGGTGTGGGGCAGAGGAGGAGAGAGGAAATAATGGCAGAAATGCCTTTCCTAGAGAAAAGGCAGCACATAATTGTAAAAAATAACGGGGTTTGTAGTAAAATCTTGACTCGGTTTTAAGCTGAAGAGGGTAGATTTAAATGGGATATTGTGAAGGAATTCTTGGCTGTGAGGGTGGTGAGGCCCTGGCCCAGGTTGGGCAGAGAAGCTGTGGCTGCCCCTGGATCCCTGGAAGCGTCCAAGGCAAGGCTCGAGCACCCTGGGCCAGTGGAAGGTGTCCCTGTCCATGGCAGAGGGTGGAACAAGATGGGCTTTGAAGTTCTCTTCCACAACAAACCATTCCATGATTCTGTGGGTAGATTCCATCAAAGCTGAATTTTTGCCCAGGGTACGACAACCACTCTAAAGAGGGTGAAGATGGAAGGACCTGGAAGCAGGTGACAATCAGAGCCCGGTCCCCCCCTCCTGTCAGGGGGTTGCAGAGCCAGAAGGTCCCCCCGAGCCTCCTTTTCTCCAGGATGAGCCCCCCCAGCTCCCTCAGCTGCTCCTGCTGCTCCAGCCCCTTCTCCAGCTCCATTCCCTTCCCTAGACACATTCCAGCATCCCCTCCATGTCCTTCTTGTTGTGAGGGACCCAAAACTGTCCCCATTATTGGAGGTGTGGAGAAGTCATACCCCAGCCCAGCTCCCAGGAGCCTGCCCAGTGAAGATGGATAAAATCATCAAATGCTGTTGGCTCCTGTGTGTTCCATCTGGGCGAAGGTGAAATTTGAACCAAAGGACACCTGGAGAACACGTTTTTGCTTTCCTCAAGCTAAGTTTTACCACATTTATGCCTTTTCTGTGCACCACTATCTGCAGGGTGGACTCTGGCTACGAGGCATTAACAATTTGCAGTTGTTCTGGTCCTAATGGGGGAAAGGGATGGGATGCAGCTCTGGGGAGGTGCATGGGCTGGTGTTGGAATAAAGGACTGAGCCATCTGATGTTTCATGCAGCTGATAACTGTGTCACACACTCCTCTGATGCACTGATGAGTTGCCACAGGCAGGCAGGAGAGAGCAGATGAGTGATAATTTCATTTTTGACTGATTTGGGTTTTTTTTCCCCGCCTCTTTGACTGTGATCAGAGGTAATCCCTTTGTGTTCACTGTGGGCAAGAAGTATAAGTTGGAGCAGTGACTTGGCTCATCTCTGAGAGAGGAGAAATTGCTGTTATTACTCATCAGAAAGGCTGAGCAGAACTTCAGTGATGCTCAAGAGAGCAGAACTCGGCTTTATCTTCTTGGTTTAAGAGCTGATTTGGGTTCAGTTGCTCAAACCCCCCCTGAGAAATGCAATTGCTGCCCTTTAAAACAGGCTCTTCAGGCACGGCTTGGGTACAACACGTGCAGAGAAGAGATGCCTGAGTGGTCTCCTATTGCATAATCAGAATGAAAATCACGACCACCAAAACCAAGACTTTAAAAATAACGGTTTGGGCAGAGTTTTAAAGCATTAGTTCTCTAAGAACCCAGCTCTTTTTCCCCCCCACCACCCTCAAATATCAGCTTTGAGATCAAGGAGACAGGTTGTTTTGACAGAGCGTTTCACTAATCTCCCAACGGATCCACTTTGGTGGAGCAGCGCGTTTGACAGTGCTCGAATTCCTCCTTTTTTTTTTTTTTTTTCCCCCCCCCCCCCCCATTCAGAAATCCGTGGTTTCTCGGGAAGGATGGCAGGCAGGCGGTAGCTGGGAGCCCTTCAGCAGCTCCATCGCTTGCTGAAATGGTTTCACCACGTGAAAAAAATGGAAAATAGGAGAGCCTAAAGCTATGTCACGTCAAGTATCTCCTCCACGCGCGTCTCCTTGACAGGGCTCTCGTGGAACAAGGCTTTTTCTCTCTTCTGCGTTTTCCCCAGGCAGATTTTTCAAAATGAGCTGAGATGGAACAGTTAGGGGCTATCTAAAGCAAAAAAAAAACAAACCAAAAAAAAAACCTCTGAAGGGACATGATCATTAAAGAAAAAAGCTCCGAAGAGTCATAATTGTACTTTTACCAGCTCCCCATGAGCAGTTTCCAGAATCAACGCTGCTCTCCCCGAGATGATTCCCAGACAGCAACACATCCAACACCTACAGCTCTGCCCCTTCCAGGTCTCTCACACTCATCCAATAATTCTTGGTTTTGCTCTTGGAGTGATTTTGCTGCTCAGGAAAACGACCATTAACTCAAGGTGGTAAAATCCCATTTCTTGGGCGTCATTAGCAAAAATGAAGAATTGATCCCTTAGCTGTCGATAGCTGCTGGACTGCTGAGAGCTCCTTATTGAGGGTTTATCCCTACATTAGAAAGATGTTTTAAAAACATGATTTTGATCACTGCTGTATCAATTATTTAGTCAGCAAAACAGAGGAGAAGTAGCTGCTCGATCAGGATTTATTCAGAGCAAGAAAACCCTCTCCAGTCTCCACTTCTTCAGCTTAGCTTATTTTTTTTATTTAAATATTTAAGAGCCAGACTTGTTTTTTGTTAAATACAAAGTTGAGTGGTTCACATTCCACTTATTAAAACCCCACCAACCCAAAGTATTCTTTGTAGGGGAAATATCCCACACTGTCGTTGATCCCCCTCTCTGACAGGCTCATGAATTCATATTTTTTTCTCAAAATAAAAAGATACTCTTGATAATGCAACTATTTAGGGTGTTTTTTCTCTTCCCTTGGTCATGTGGGTTAAATATTTTAAAAGGATTAGAGGAGAGCTTGGAGGAGAAACCCCCTGAAAGCCTTGGGAAGGTTTGGTCTCCTGGTGGGGGATTTTGGGTGTCTCAGTGTCGGGTGATTGGACTCCACAGATCCAGAAGGGTTTGATGGAGGAAACAGCTGTTTCTTATCATGGTTTAGAAGTACAAATCTTTGCTGTGAAAACACTAAGAGAACTGGTGGGTTTAGTGAACTTCCTGTGCCTTGGTTCTGTTTGGTGGACACCGTGTCCATCAGTGTCTTTCTTTGGCTCATGGAGAGGGTAAATAATTCAAAGGGCTGGTGTGTCATCTGATGGCCCATGTCCCCTTCCATCTCCCTGTCCCAGGGGAAGCTGGAAAACAGTAGGATCCTTAGAAGTGGAGGGGGGGAAAAGGAAATGTGTAGGATTCACGTTGATGGGAGAAACTGGTTCTGTTGTCGTTTATGTCCCATCTTTTCCTGTAGGTGTTGTATTCATGGAATCAAAGAATGGTTTGGAAAGGGTTGGGAAGGACCTTAAAGATCATCCAGTTCCACCCCCAGCCATGGGCAGGGACACCTTCCACTAGCCCAGGTTACTCCAAGCC